CCACATCAGGCAGTCCACAACTTCCTGTAACTCTAGTTCCAGAGGATGACTCCTTCTCCTGGTCTCTGAAGACAACTGCACATCCTACTTGATATGCACACGCGCGCGCGCGCGCACACACACACACACACACACAGACAGAAATATATATATATATATATATATATATATATCTGTAGCCCCAGGGGACCCAGAATTCACTATGTAGAGCAGGCTGGGCTTGAACCCACAGAGATCTGCCTGCCTCTGCCTCCTGAGTGCTGGGATTAAAGGCATGCACCACCGTGCCTGACTCAGATTTTTTTCAAATGTTTTTATTTTTTTTATTTTATGTGTATGAATGTTTTGCCTGCATGTATGTAAGTGCAGCCATATCGTGCAGTGCCTGTGTAAGCCAAAAAAGGGCATCAGATCCCCTAGAACTGAAGTTACAGATAGCTGTTAGCCACTAACTGAACATGGGTCCTCTATAAGAACATCCAATGCTCTTAAACCATCTCTCCAGTCCCATAAACAAATAGCTCTTTACACACACACACACACACACACACACACACACACACACACACACACAGCTGGGCATAGTGGCATATGCCTTTAATCCCAGCACTTGGGAGGCAGAGGCAGGCCAGCCTGGTATACACAGAAAGTTCCAGACCAGCCAGGACCACATAGTAATAAGACACTGTCTCAAACAAACACACTAACAAAACAACAAAAAAAACTATTTTCAGGAGGTAAAGGGCACTTAGTCTGAGTTTGGTCCCCAGGGCCCATATGGTAGGAGAAAAGAACTAACTGCCACAAGTTATCCTCTGACCTTCAGATGTGTACGCACACACACATACAACTACACACACACACACACACACACACACACGAATGCATGCACACACATATATACACACACAAACAAAAAACAGAAAATAAATAATAATGTAAGAACATCTTTATAAACTACTTGCAGCTAGACATGGTGGCTCACACCAATAATCCCAACACATGGGAGAATGAAGCAGAGAGATTGTGGGTTTGAGCCCAATTTAGGCTACAATAGAAACAGTCTCCAAAAAAAACTCACAGCACTCAATAGGCTGAAGCAGGAGGATTGTGGGTTCAAGGCCAGCCTGGGCTATTAATAAGATTGTCTCTAAACAATAGAAAAATATGCACAAAATATAATTCTCAATCCAATCACCCAGTGGTTTAACATCTTTATCCTTAAAACCTGAACACATCAGGACACAACATATATATATACCTGCAGACTAGCTAAAGAACATGGACATCTCTATGTACGCCATTGGGTCTCTGCTTTCTCTATAGATCCAGATCCAAATCTGAAATAAAATTGCCAAGGTCAATTATCATCCCCACAAAAAAACAAGGAGTCTGTCTTGCAGTGCCCATAATAGAAATGGACTTCCCTCCTTCTACTCAAGAGTTTTTTATTGCCATCAGATCCTATTCAGTTCCTGTACAGGGAGAAGGGCCTACCCTGTCTCCTCTACCTACATTGCCCCAGAGATATCTCAGATCTGGAAGCAACCTTCAGGGCTATTTCCCCCCATCTATTAGAAGAGTTAAAGTAAGCCCTTGGAACATAATTTTCAGCCCACTCTGGTGCTATACTTGATTCTGTTATCTGGTAACAGCCAATAGCACCCTCACTGGTCTATACATAAAGGTCAGAGATTAAATGCCTCCACCATCTGAAAACTTCTCTACCAGGAAACCAGAGCCCAAATCTCCCAAAATACAAAATCAGAAAATATGATGCTTTCATTTGGAGTCTGAAACCCAATTTCTGTCCTGAGAATACTCATGTTCAGCTTAGAACTTAGGCACTGGTGCCTGTACCCTTGTCCTCACATCCTGAGGCGCATCAACAAGCTCTATTACTCAATTTGTCCCTAAAGGAGTCAGGGAGACCAAAACAGTTCAAGAGTTCAGGTTTCAAGACAACTTTACATTTACAGAGTGGACTTCACAGAGTAAGCTCAGACATTCCATACTTAATTTAACCTATTAACAAAAACTAAAACTCAAAATTAATGATTTAAAGACTTCTAATTACAGATGATGCATCTAAATTCACCAAGGTCAGCATTGTGAAGGTTCCATGTCCCCTCCTCTTTCCCTCTGCACTCCTACCAGGGTACTTCTTTACCAGGCCTTGCTCTGTGTACCTCTTCTACACATCTGTTTACCTGTTTCTTTCAAATAAAAGTATAAGAAAAATAAATAAGTAAATAGATAAAGACTTCCAACACAACTCAGCTGAATTATGTGTTCAGGTACAGAATCTACCATTACCCAACATTCAAACTGGAAGAGCCTTTCACACTAGGTCTCTTAAAATACATCCATTGGGGCCAATGATTTGATGGTTCCACAGGTAAGGGGGCTTGCCACCAAACCTGATGGTGATTATCTGAGTTCAATTCCCAGAACCTATATGGTAGAAGGAGAGTACCAACTCCCACAATTTGTCCTCTGACCTCCACACATGTACCATGGCACACATGCATATACACACAAACAAACACACACACACACACACAAACACACACACACAATCCAAATCAATGTTAAAAATAAATAAATAAATAAAGGGCTGGAGAGATGGCTCAGTGGTTAAGAGCACTGACTGCTCTTGCAGAGGACCTGGGTTTGAGTCCAAGCACCCACATGGCAGCTATGAACCGTCCTTAACTCTAGTTCCAGGGGAATCCAAAGCCCTCTTCTGACCTCCGCAGCATTACACGACACAGGTGCACTCACATACATGCAGAAAATACACTCATACACTTAAAAAAAAATAAAATATTTAAAAAATAAGTACAGGCTGGAGAGATGGCTCAGCAGTTAAAAACATTGGCTCGAACACAGAAGACCCAAGTTCGAATCCCAGCACCCACATGGCAGCTAACAACTGTCCATAACTCCAGTTCCCAGGGATCTGCCAGCCTCTTCTGTCCTCCTTGGGCACTGCATGAGTGCATTTACATACATGCAGGCAATACACTCATACACATAAAATAAAAATAATAAATAGCCGGGCGTGGTGGCACATGCCTTTAATCCCAGCACTCGGGAGGCAGAGGCAGGTGGATCTCTGTGAGTTCAAGGCCAGCCTGGTCTACATAGTGAGTTCCAGGACAGCTGGAGCTACAGGGAGACCCTATCTTAAAAAGACCAAAAAATAAATAAAATTAAAAAATAAATAAAGTAAGTAAGTATATAGGTCAAAAAGATTTATGTTATAATAAGTCACCCAACCAGGAAGTCACATGGAGAAGAAATAAGTACATGGATAGCACTTTGAAAATCAAGGGCTGGAGCTAATAGTCCAGTAATTGTTTCCCAAGCATGCACAAAGCCCTAGGTATGACTCCCAGCACACATGCACGCACGCATGCAAAGAGGGGTACCTCACAAAGAGGGGATGGGATACCTGAGCACTTCAGAGTATCTCCAAAGAAACTAAAAATCTAAGCAGTGCTGAATGCTGTCTAGTTAAGAGAGATCATGGGCCAGGATTGGTGGCACATGCTTTAATCCTAACACTCAGGAGGCAGAGGCAGGCAGATCTATGTGAGTTCAGGGCCAGCCTGGTCTACATAGTGAGTTCCAGGACAGCTGGGGCTACAGGGAGACCCTGTCTCAAAAAGACCAAAAAAAAAACCTCACCCTTAAGGGGATACTCCCAGGAAAAGTCAATAATCTCAAACTCTTTGATGGGCAGAGAGAACAGGTAGATCTCCAGGGGACTTGATCATATCCTCTACCACGCAGCCCAACTTGGTGATAGGGATCAACACCTTGTCTTCCACTTTGGCTCCATGAGCCCTGAGGCCTCTACCAGGAGATAGGGGGCCCACAGCCAAATCCTCCAATCCTCCCTGGAAGCCACCATGGCCTCCCAAGTCTGGAACTCACACAGGTTCACCAGCAGAGTGCTGGGATTAAAGGCATGCATCACCATGCCCAGTCTGTTTGTTTTCTCTTTTTTTTTTTTTTTTTTTGGGGTTTTTGAGACAGGGTCTCCCTGTAGCCCAGCTGGCCTGGAACTCATTATGTAAACCAGACTGGCCTCGAACTCAGAGATCTGCCTGCCTCTGCCTCCCAAGTGCTGGGACTACAGGCTTGCACCACCACACCTGGCCCTGTTTGTTTTCTTAAATGAGATATTTGGCATGTACAACATAACCAGGTATAACTAGGTGCATTAACACAGGACTGTTGTCCCAGCTATCCCAAGGCTGAGAAGGACGATCACTTGAACTGAATGAAAAGTTCATTAATACAATGTCACTCTGTATTCCAAACTCAAGCAAACCTTCTACACCTTTGCCTCCCAAGTGCTAGGATGACAAGCATAAGCCACCAAAGCTTGCTGTTTGGTTTTGCTTCTTTTTTTTTTTTTTTTTTTTTTTTTTTTTTTTTTAGACAAGGTCTCCCTGTAGCCCAGCTGGCCTGGAACTCACTGTGTAGACCAGGCTAGCCTCAAACTAACAGCGCTCCACCTGCCTCTGCCTCCCACATGCTGGTTTTGCTTTTTAAGACAGTCTTGTAGCCAGGTATAAACCAAGCAATGAAGAGGCTTAGCCAGGGGAGCTCAAGTTCCAGGCCAATCTGAGCTACAAAATGAATAAGTATCTCAAAAAAAGAAAGGGGGGGGGGGGGGGAGCTGGAGAGATGGCTCAGCAGTTAAGAACACTGGTTGTTCTTGCAGAAGACCTGGGTTCATATCCCAGCACCCACATGGCAGATAACCGTAACTCCAGTCCCAGGGGATCTGACAGCCTCTTCTGACCTTGGAGGGCATTGCACGACTCGGGTGCACTTACCTACAATACACACACATAAAATTAAAAAAAAAAAAAAATTAAAAAGAAAAAAAAAATCAAAGACTTGGTCTCACTCCATAGCCCTGACTGGTCTACAACTCATTATGTTAACCTATGTAACCTCAAATTAGATGTAGTGGCACATACCTGTTAACCCAACACTAAGAGATGGAAGCAGAAGGATCAGTAGTTCACGGTCACACTCAGCCATATATCAAGATCCAGATCAGCCTAAGATACAAGAGACCTGTCTAAAAAAAACAAAACAAAACAAACAAAAATACTATATAGTATGTAACCCTGAATTCATAATCCTCCTGCTCCAATTTCTTCAGTGCTAGTATTTCAGATGTGCGCTTCCTTGTATGGTTCAAATCTTATCTCTAGCTGGGTATAGCGGTCTTTAATCCCAGCACTTGGGAGGCAGAAGTAGGTGGGTCTCTGTGAGTTCCAAGGCCAGCCTCGTCTACACAGGGAGTTCCAGACCAGCTGGGGCTACAGGGAGATCCTATCTCAGAAAGATTCCCACCCCCCAAAAAAAGGAAGGAGAGCACCAACTCCATAAAGTTATCCCTTGATGGGTGTCAGTGGACACATGTGCCACAGTGGTACTGCATGGTCCACTGACACACATCATAAACATACATATACAATAATAATAATAAATATCTATTCTTAAAAAAAAAATTAACTGGGCATGGTGGCACACACCTGTAATCCCAGGACTCAGGAGGCTGAGGCGGGAGAATCTGTGAGTTTGAGGCCAGCTTGAAATATATAAAGAAGTAAATTTAAACACACATTGTATGTGTGTGTGTATATATTTATATTTATATATAATATAAAGCAGAGGCAGTAGGAGTACAGCAAGCTCCAGCCAGGGCTATATAGTAAGCTTGGTGCCAAAAAAATTAAAATAAGAACAAAAAAAAATCTTTAATTGTGCAACATTAGAAAAATTAAAACATTGATGAACTCAACCTAGGAAATATGTTCACCTTTTATTAGATATCAAACTCAGCATATTCCTAAAGAAAAGGGACAGATAATAAGTAGCATATGGACAGCTGCCCGGCACCACCCAGGGCACATTACTAACAAGGCATTTGTTTCTTCTACAGACTACGGAGAGGATTTGACTGTCCCAGTTTTACTAAGGCAAAGAAGTCAAGGGCCTCACTTAGAGTCACACTAGGATGGAGGGTGAAAGGGTCTACTTTGGAAGATTCCTCCCAGGTTTCTACTGTTAAGGACACTCAACTATCCTCATCACTATTATTTATCACTGTCAGACATCATCACACTCAGGCCAAAAATCATGCCTGTCTTGCAAACAGCAACAGTCCCCAGTGGGTAGATGGACCTACTCTGAGAAGTCATGACTCAACACTACAGTTTTACCAAGTCCTACATGAAAGAAGAGCTCTCCTTCAGAAACTCTATACCTTCTTATAACAAGTGCTGGCATTTGCAAACTAAGCTCAGTATGGTACATATGTTTTTTATTCCTTCATTGAACAACAACAACAACAAAAAAAAAAACGTTATGGCAATCTGAATCCTAAGACAGAGGAAGAAATGTAATCACTGTGCTCAGGCAGAGGATGAAACAGGTCAGGTTGGCGTAAAATAGCCTGAGATTATAGATGAGTAGTTTGAACACTTGCCTGGGTTGGAGCTCTACAAACGGAAGGAAAGAAAAGGGAAAAGGGAAAGGTTAGGGGAAGGGAGACAACAAATAGATGACAGGAGCGGAGGAAAGATGAGAAAGGGGAAAAAAATGGAATTTTTCACTGAGAAAATGAAGAACAATTTCATTCTAAAAGCCTACAAATCCCTCAGCAAATATCCCTGCAATCGCATAAAAAACCTTTTACTTCTTCCACTGTTCCCCCCCTTCATCCTCCATAGACAGCACATTCATCTATTCCTCATAGAACCTGATAAAGCACACCACCAGGTCCCATATCTGGCTCTCTGTATGAAGCCAATCCTCCTGAAGAGAAGAGCTGATGGCCTCTGTCCAGTCACAGAAATCACAGTATATCTTATCCATTTTTTTTTCCCCCTAAGGACACAGTGGCCTAGAGTCAGGAACAGAACTGACTAATGAACAAGGCAGCTTGATATCAGGAAAAAGTATCCACATGCAGAAAATCTGGGTTGTTTTTTTTTTTGTCTTTTTGAAGCAGGGTCTCCTTGTAGCCCCAGCTGTCCTAGAACTCACTATGTAGACCAGGCTGGCCTTGAACTTACAAATATCCGCCTGCCTCTGCCTCCCAAGTGTTGGGACTACAGGTGTGGTGGGCCACAACGCCCAGCTAAAATCTGTTTTTTTTTTTCAAAGAAGCCTAGGGCTGGGGTGTAACTCAATGGTAAGAGTACATGCTTAAGTAGCATGCATGGGGTCCTGGGTTCAATCCATAGCACCAAACCACACAAAATTTTTTTTTGTTAAAGGCCTCTTGCCTACCTCCCTACCCAGAGAACAATAATCTAACATTTTACATCTTCAAAGAATTTTAACATCAATTAAGACCAAAAGAAAGGAAATAAGATTTTGATGTCCAATTTCATCACAAACAAATTAAACCTATGCTTCACAGAAGATTCAGAACATGTGAAAGCCCAGAGGGAGGGCCCAGCCTCCTATGATTAGGCACTCAGCCACCCTTGGGAGCAGCGGGCTTGCTTCTCCAAATATGGCCTCAGATCTGCTTCAAGTATGAGCTCAGGTCCACAAGGGGTCAACAAAAATGTTTATCAAGATATGAGGGGCTTGCCTAGCAAAGGCAAGGTCCTGGATTTGAACCTGCAGCACCTAAAAACAGAAAATAAGGAATACACTGGATGTGATGGCATAATCCCCAGCACTCAGAAAGTAGGAGGAGGATTTTGAGTTCAGGGACAATTTAGGCTACAGAGTGAGTTCCAAGTTAGTAAGAATTACAAAGTGAGACCCTGTCTCAAAATACAAACAACTACCTGGGCGTGGTGACACACACCTTTAATTCCAGCACCTGGGAGGCAGAGGCAGATGTATCTGTGAGATCAAGGCCAGCCTAGTCTGCATAGCAAGTTCCAGGCCAGCTCAAAAAAAGTGAAAACAAAACTTGACAAAGGGGCAAAATACGAGCATCATTCTCCAGAAACCTACTAAACAGCAGGGCAGCATGGTGAAGCAACAGCTTGCTGGGCTCCAAGCCCTTCAACACCCAGCTACTACAGCAGACAGGACACAGGCCACAACAGACTTGACACTGAAGAGGACTGCTATGCCTTGGGCAAAGCCCACAATAGGCCCTATTATCCCTGGAAGCCCATGACAGGATGGAAGGAGAGGCCAGGACATTCTTCCACCCTCTCACACAGAGGGAAAGGTCACAGGCAGCCTGGGGCACCAGAAGCCTACACAGGAAAAAAGCCATTTTCCTCTTCAGCTGTTAGAATCCAAAGGGACCTATCCTGTCCTCCAACAGAAAGGTGACCTTAGGTGCAATCTCATTAAATCAGGTGAAGTAGATGACCTACACAGGAGACCCCTCTCCAGTCAGTAATGGCCCAACTAGAAGGGAATGCTCAAGACTTTGAGGACAAGGGGAACCCCACAGACCCTGTCAGCTCAAGGCTGACAGTGAGAACAGACCAACTTCTACTAAGGATTTCTTTCTGTGCAAAGGAATCTAGTCATTTTCTTTTCTGTGTGTGCTTGAGTGTATTGCCTGTATGTAGGTAGGTACAACCTATCGTGCAATGCCCTCAGAGGTGAGAAGAGGGAGACGATTCCCTGGAACTGGAGCTGTAGACAGTTGCTATCACGCAGGTGCTGGGAATCAAATCCAGGTCCTCTGCAAGAGCAGCCAGTGCTCTTAACTAAGTCATCTCTCCAGCCCCTTCACTTTCTAAATTCCTTTTTTTAAAACTTTTTTATGTGTATGTGTGCACTGCCTGCCTGCACATAGGTAAGTGCACCTGTGTCGTGCAATGCCTGTAGAGGACAGAAGAGGCTATCAGATCCCTACTTCTAAAGCTGTAAAAACACGTATCTTTGCAGAGTGTGGTGGTGTGCGCCTTTAATCCCAGTCCTTGGGAGGCACATTGTGACTTCCAGGTATGCTGTGACTAGGGAGACCCTGTCAAAAAACCTATCTTCACCAGGCATGGTGGCGCACGCCTTTAGTCCCAGCACTCCAGAGGCAGAGGCAGGTGGATCTCTGTGAGTTCAAAGCTAATCTGGTCTACCTTATCTTCAGTGGTACAGTCTATACTGTTGACCATACTGACAAAATATTGTGATCTTCTCCAGGTAAGCAGAAGCAACAGCTGATAGCACGAAGCCAAAAGGAAGAGTGAGACAGGAATCCTACTGTTAACTATTTGTGTCTTTAATGAATTCTATTTTTAGGTATTTAATAAAGAGTCTCTCTTCTAGTCTCCTACCAAATTTTCCCATTCAGCAATTCAATCTTTCCAACACTATTCAAAATTCTAAAAATATAAGACAGGCACTTTTTCATTCACTTTATTTTTCCCTAGACCCAGAACCTAGCCCTGTGCAAGAAGTGCTCAGGCTAGACTCAACTATAAAACACTGTATTTATTTAAGCTGGGCATGGTGGCGCACGCCTTTAATCCCAGCACTTGGGAGGCAGAGGCAGGTGGATCTCTGTGAGTTCAAGGCAAGCCTGGTCTACATAGTGAGTTCCAGGACAGCTAGGGCCACAGGGAGACCCTGTCTCAAACGAAAAAAAAAAACAACACTGTATTTAGCAAGGCTCCCTGAGGTCAGGGCAGATTTGATGCAAAGACAATCTCCCAGGTCCAGTAAGAGGGTATACACAGGACATTTACAGTGATGAGAAGTACGTTTTACGGAAAACAGTCATAGCAAATTAGGGTTCAAAAAAATGAATGATATCCTAGGTTCTAGTTAATATCCAAAATAGAAAGTAAATTCTGGGGCAATGTCTGCAGAGGACAGAAGAGGCTGTCAGATCCCCTGGAACTGGAGTTACGGACAGTTGTTGGCTGCCATGTGGGTGCTGAGGTTCGAACTCGGGTCTTCTAGAAGAACAGTCAGTGTTCTTAACCACTGAGCCACCTCTAAAGCCCTACAGCATTTTTCATGGCAAAAATTTGCTGGAGGCCAGAGATGGAGGGTATGCCTATAATCCCAGAATTTAGGAGGCTGGGTAAATTCTAAGCCAGTCTGGGCTACAGAGGAATTTGGTTCCAGTCTGGGCAATTGAGCAAGATCCTGTCTCAAAATAAAATTAAATGGGATTGGGAATGTAGTCCAGCAGTGAAATGCTTACTCAGCGTGCACAAGCCCTGCCTGAGTTCAATCCTCAATAATACACATACAAACTAGAGAAGCAATGTAGCCTTGGAGAATTGAGCTCATTAAGAAAGGTATTTATGATAACCAATGCAAAGCTGGTTCATTTCCTCCACAGAGAACCATGGAATCTTCTTAAGAAATCCCTTATCATCAACCCTTGGGATGCCAGAAGGGACAATGTTCCCCAGTATAGCTCCCAGGATAAAAAACAAGATAACTAGAACACCTGCAAAATCAAAGGAGTAAAGTCTTCAAATTTCATTATTTTGAAACCCATTACTATATATCTAACCCAAAAAATTAATTTTTAAAAAATTCATTATTTTGCCGTGCGTGATGGCGCACACCTTTAATCCCAACACTCTCGAGGCAGGTGGATTTCTGTGAGTTCAAGGCCAGCCTGGTCTACACAGTGAGTTCCAGGACAGTTGGGGCTACAGGGAGACCCTGTCTCAAAAAAGGCCAAAAAAAAAAAAAAAAAAATTCATTATTTTGTTCCAAAACATATAGCAATTAGTAAAGACAATTCTGTAAGGAGTTTGTTGTTTGTAGATACTCACACTTATATACAAAAGCAACATGACATAAACATAAAGGGCAAATGCTGAAGAAGGCAACCAGACTGGGCACTAGCCACTGTTTGCCTGAATATGACACACCCTTTCCAAGTGTTTCACTTGCCCTTGAGCTGCCCTCCAACTGGCACACTCCCCTAAGGGCTGTTGACTGCCTCAGAAAGAATGGATCTGCAGGCACACATACCCCTGAGGAAAGGGAACATTGAGACTAAGTCTCTATGTGGCTACAAAAATTAAATTCTTGGGCCCTTGGGCCTGCCCAGGGTAAAGGTGCTTACCAGGCAGCCTGAGGACCTGAGTTGGATCCCTAGGATTCACATGTTGGAAGGAGAATGTACCTCAATGGTCAGAGTGCTTGCCTAGAATGCATAAGACACTGGATTCCATCCCCAGAACCAGTAAATACATAAATATATTATTTGATAGAGCTTTCTCCCCACTATTACTATTTTGAAATTCAAGGTTAATCACGTTGCCAAGTAGCTGACCAGCCCTCCCCTCTCTTTTGCAGAAATTTTTCTTTTCAGGTGCCTTACCTCAGCTTCCAGTACTAGGCAGCTTTAAAAGCTTTATCCTCCTGGAGAGCAGAGGCCCTGCAGGAAAAGAAAGAATATTGGTGAGTTCCCACAACTGAAACAGAATTACACCACACCAACCAACACCAAAGGAAGTGGGCAATGTCACTTCAGTATCCTGCCCACGTCACCCATTAGTCAGCCTTCTTGTCAAAGATCTTTGTAAGGAAATGAAATGTTTTATGTACAGTCAAGACAAAAAAATATCAAGCTTCATAAATTAGAGACATAAAATTAATTTTAACATTCATATTTGTTTATGTTCATAGGTATGTATGTGAATGCACATGTTGGGAGCATGCATATAGGGAAAAGGATGAAGTGGTAGTTCATGTGGTGGTCAGAGGCCAATCTTGGGTATTGTTCCTCAAGGAGATGTTCCCCTAGTTTTATTAGATAGGGTCTCTCACTTGAATTTGGGGCTTACTGGCAAGTGAGCTCCAGGGATCTGCCTACCTCTCCCTCCCTAGTAACAGGATTATAAACACCCAGCTTTTAGTGGGTGCTAGAGTTCAAACTCAAGTCTTCATGTTTACATAGCAAGTTCTTTACCAACCAAACTACCTCTCCAGCCCTTGTTATTCTTTTACTTGTTTTGATTTTTGGGTCTCATGTAGCACAGGCTGGCCTTGAACTCATGATCCTCCTGCCTCCACCTCTCTAGTGCTGAGATTATAGGCATGGGCCATCATTCCCAGTTTTTGTCTGTTCATTTATTTATTTACCTATTTGGTCTTTTTGAGACCTTCCCTCCCCGCTTCTGGAGAGGATCTCACTGTGTAGCTCAGACTAGCCTAGCAATGACTGTATAGAGGTATACCTGGAACTCTTGATTGTCCTTCCTCTGCCTCTCAAATGCTAGGATTTAGGCACATACCAATAAGCCTATAGCCTTCTTGATGAAGGTACACAGAATGGGGAATGACAGGTGATAGACCCATTTTATGGATGGTTTAAAAAAAAAAAATGAAGCCAGGGCTGGCGAGATGGCTCAGTGGTTAAGAGCACTGACTGCTCTTGCAGAGGACCCAGGTTCGATTCCCAGCACCCACATAGTGACTACAAACTGTCCTTAACTGCAGGTTCCGTGGGAATCCGAAGCCCTCTTCTGACCTCTGCAGCAATGCACATGGGTGCACTCACATACATGCAGGCAATACACTCATAAAATAAAAATAATAAATTAAAAAAAAAAAAAAGCCAGGCGTGGTGGCGCATGCCTTTAATCCCAGCACTCAGGAGGCAGAGGCAGGCAGAAGGATCTCTGTGAGTTCAAGGCCACCATGGTCTACATAGTGAGTTCCAGACCAGCTGGGGCTACTGGGAGACCCTGTCTCAAAAAACACCAAAAAAAAAAAAAAGAACCCTTAGTTGGACATATTACTGCATGCCTATAACCCCAGCATTACCCTATGTTGGGAGGATAAGGCTACACACTTGGTGAGTGAGATCCTGCCTCAGGAAAAACAAAAAGGTTTGAAAGTAAGAGTACAGCCCCAGGTGGTGGCACATGCCTTTGATCCCAGCACTCAGGAGGCAGAGGCAGGTGGATCTCTTTGAGTTTGAGGCCAGCCTGGTCTCAATAGTGAGTTCTAGGCCCAGGTGGGGCTACAGGGAGACCCTGTCCCAAAAAGACCAAAAAAAAAAAAAAAGTGAGGTCTTGCACAGATAAGAAGTTTGTGATGAGAAGTTTGTTTCCTTATCTGCTATTTAGATTTAATAGTTGCAGACTGTGACTGCTTGGGGGTTAGAAGCCTCCAGAGTTATCAGAGAAAATAAGAAACAAAGGATAAGAACACACAGATTGGTTTCTTAAGAGTATTGAATCTCGCAAGTAGAGTGTTCTTCCATGTGTGATGTATGTTAGTCAACGTTTTCTCCTCCTCTTCTCAACTCTTTTTTTATATTTTATTTATTTTTATTTTATGTGTATGCGTGTATTGCCTGCATGTAGGTAAGTGCACCTGTGTCGTGCAATGCCCGAGGAGGTCAGAAGAGGCGGTCGGATCCCCCTGGAACTGGAGTTACGGACAGCTGTCTGCTGCCATGTGGGTGCTGGGATTCGAACCCGGGTCCTCTGCAAGAACAACCAGTGTTCTTAACCACTGAGCTATCTCTCCAGCCCCCTTCTCAACTCTTTCTGTTTAAAGAAAATTTGTGTGCTTTTGCCAGTGTTTTTTTTTAAATCATTATTGCCGGGCGTGGTAGCGCATGCCTTTAATCCCAGCACTTTGGAAGCAGAGGCAGGCAGATCTTTGTGAGTTCAAGACCAGCCTGGTCTGCATAGTGAGTTCCAGGCCAGCTGGGGATACAGGGAGACTCTGTCTGTCTGTCACTGTCTCTCTCTCACACTCACACACACCAAAAAAACAGGCTTGAAAGATGGCTCAGCAGTTAAGAACACTGGCAGCTCTTGCTGAGGACCCGAGTTCGATCCCATGGCAGCTACCTGCTGACTGTAGCTCCAGTTCCAGGGGAATTTGAAGCCATCTTCTGACCTCTGTGGGCACTGCAAAACACGGTGCACTTACATACATGCAGGCAATATACTCATACACATAAAATAAAATAATTAAAAAAAAAAAAAGAATATAAATAAAAAAGTCAGCAACTGTCTGTAATCCCAGCACTGGGGAGGCAAAGACAAGAGCATCACTTTGAGTTCAACACCAGCCAGGTCTATATAGTGAGCTCCATGCCAGCTAGAATGAGAAACTGTCTCAAACAAACAATAAGCAAACAAAAAGAGAATATAAATCAAATAAAGTCAACATGTTGCTAAAACTTCATTCAAATTTACTTCACTTCAAGATAGAAAGACTATCAACTTTGCTATCTATAATTGCTACTGCTGCAGCCTATCTTTCCACTCTGAATCTAAAGACAAAAAAAAAAAAAACACTTAGTTATCAAACCCAAGAAATAGAAAAATAGGAAACCCAATTCATTAAAGCTAAATTAAGCCCTTTAGCTAGTATAATTTTGTTTTCTTGGTTTTGTTTTTTTGTTTTTTTTTTTTTTTGGTCTTTTTGAGACAGTGTCTCGCCTGTAGCCCCAGCTGTCCTGGAACTCACTATGTAGACCAGGCTGGCCTTGAGCTCACAGAGATCCACCTGCCTTTGCCTCCCGAGTGCTGGGATTAAAGGCGTGCGCCACCACACCCGGTGATAGTATAATTTTGTAAACTACTCTAAATCTCTATTTACAGAAATTGCTATCTGAGCAGCATTATTAATGATCAGAGTGAAGAGCAAGATGGTCAAGAGGCAGGGCACGTATGGGACTCTACAGAATGCCACTTGTTATTTGGTTGAATGGCTGCGGTCTGTTTTTTGCTTTTTGCTTTTGATTTTGGGGTGGGAAGTTATTTCTTTCTTTTCTCTATTTTTTAAAAAATTTTTATGTGTGTGCGTGTGTGTGTGTATAACATGAGTGCAAATGCCTGCAAGAACCAACAGTGTTGGATCCCCCAGGAGCTAGTGATAGGTGGTTGTAAGCTGCCTGATGTGTTGTTGGGAATTGAACTCAGGTCCTCTGGAAGAGCAGTCTGTGCTCTGAACCACTGAGCCATCTCTCCAACCTTGTTTCTTTTAAGACACTGTCTCAGCTGGGCATGATGGCATATGCCTTTAGTCCCAGCACTCGGGAGGCAGAGGAACCTGTCTTGAGTTCCAGGCAGTTGGGGCTACAGGGAAACCCTGTCTCAAAAAGACACACACACAAAAAAAGACACTATCTCACTACATAGCACAGGCAGGCTGGCCTCTAACTTGTGGGGAATCCTCCTGCGAGCTAGAATTACAAGCGTGTATCACCACAATCCGACTTAGACTGTTTGAATACCTTTACACATGGACACACGAAGACCTAGTATGAAATAACCACCAACTTATTCAAAATGATGATCACCTTACTCTCAGTCTGTACTGTCAACACCAGCAAACAGGAAGAGGACCTAACAAGCAATGGTTCAAAAACACTGGTAAAGGGGGCTGGAGAGATGGCTCAGCCCACTAGTTGCTCTTGCAGAGGAACCCAGTTCAATCCCCAGCCACAATTATCCTTAACTCCAGTTCCAGCGGAATCTGATGACCTCTTCTGACTTCCCAGGGCATTGCAGGACATGGGTGCACTTACATACATGCTGGCAATACACTCATACATGTAAAATTTTAAAAATAACAAATATTAAAAACAAAGAAGGGGGGAAGGCGACTATGGAGTTGTGGGTATAGCTCAGTGGAAAAGTACTTCCCTAGTATACACAAGCTGCTCCTCATCAATCCTGCCAGTCACAAAGACTCAGACGTTCTTAGAGCAAAAACAATGTCTCTCATATTCCCCAAGTATCTCAAGTTCACACTAGCACTTGGCTTCATGGTGTCTCACATACTCCTGTCACTTCCTGACCTCTCCACTCAACAGGTCCCTCATACCTACAAAAGTCTTGTCTTGAACCTTCTTTCTCTCCATCTCACTGCTTACCACTGACTTGGTTCAAGTTCACTATCTCCTCACTGGACTGCAGAAATGAATAATTAGCCTCCACATTGGAGACTCACTTCTTAAAAATCTGGAATTGAGCGGCTGGAGAGATGGCTCAGCAGTTAAGAACACTGGCTGTTCTTGCAGAAGACCCAGGTTCGAATCCCAGCACCCATATGGCAGCTAACAACTGCCCATAACTCCAGTTCCAGGGACTCTGACAGCCTCTTCTGTCCTCTTCAGGCACTGCACGACACAGGCACACTTAACCCAGCACCCACATGGCAGCTAACAACTGCCCATAACTCCAGTTCCAGGGACTCTGACAGCCTCTTCTGTCTGTCCTCTTCAGGCACTGCACGACACAGGCACACTTACCCACATGCAGGCAATACACACATACACATAAAAATAATAAATAAATATTTTTTTAAAAAATCAGGAATTGAGCCAGGCATGGTGGTACAGGGCTTTTATTGGAGGCATAGGCAGGTGGATCCCTGTGAGTTCAAGGCCAGCCTGGTCTACATAGTGAGTTCAAGTTCAGGGTCAGCTGGGGCTACAGGGAGTCCCAGTCTCCAAAAAAAAATAATAATCTCCTGCACATGCCTACAATCCCAGCATCTGAGAGATATCTCAACAAAGACCTGGCTTCTGAGAATGGTCCCTCATATGGTCTCTCAAATTCCAAATGGTATCCCTATCATCTCTCCCTTATCATCTGTCTTACACCCACCACTAGACACCTGGGCTTGGTCTTCACCAGACTCAATTGAGGCCCCACTGGGTCTGATTTGAAACAAATGCAGATAAACAGAGATAGCCTGGCTTCATATCCTGACTCTAGCCAAGTATGACAGTGCATACCTACAACCCCAGTATGTGAGTCACTGAGGCAGGAGGGGCCAGCCAGGGCTAGTGAGACTCCATCCCCCTGCCCCACCAAAAAAAAAAAAGAAGAAAAATAGTAAGATGGAGAGCAAAGGAGGAAGACATCCTCCTTCGGCCTCCTCATGTGCACACAACAAACACATGCGCATACACAATTTTGTTCTTGTTTTTTTTTTTAGTCTTTTGAGACAGGGTCACCATGTAGCCCCAGCTGGCCTGGAACTGCCTTTGTAGACCACGCTGGCTTTGAACTCACAGGGATCCACCTGTCTCTGCCTTCCAAGTGCTGGGATTCTAGGGGATTCAAAGGCATGTGCCACTACACCCCACCTAATTTTCTTAAAAAATATACCTACTGTGCTCAAGAGTGTATGAAATACAATGCCTCATGTTCAAGTAGGAGAGGCTGAATAGGTAGGTAGGATGGTTGAAGACAATGCCTTACAATGTAGCCCAGGCCACCTGCCCTTCAACTCCCAATCATCTTCAGGTCTCCTCTTATCTCAGTCTCTCTGAATGCTGGGATTTAAAGCCACTGTGCCTCACCAAGCTAGAAAGATGTTTGAACAATCAAATGCCAGTCTTCTCCTTTCTTAAACATCAACTCCTATCAAAGAAGCCCCCCAGAATCCCTCCAAACTCTACCATTCTTAATACCTAACAGGCTAGCAAGACTGTCCATCACCACATTCAGCAGTCAAGTTTTGGAGGTAGGTATGGTGGCTCCAGTTTATAATCCCTTAACTTGGAAGGTGGAGGCAGGACTAGAAATTCATTGTTAGTTGTCTCAACTACATTGAGTTCAAGACTAGCAAGGGCTTCAGTAGACCATCTCAACAAAGAAAAAAGAAAGTCTGGGTTTTGTTTTGTTTATTCTGGGACTTGAACTTAGGGCTTCACACCATAGGCAAAAGCTCTAGCACCGAGCTGTACCCCCAACCCCCAGAAGACAGGGCTTTAAATCCTTGGTCATGCTTGGACTTCCCACCTACACAGTGCTGAATTCAGGCTCCCCACCCACATCAAGCTAGACAGTCCCTGGACACTACCTTTTCTGTCTCCCCTCTCAAATGACTCCTCCTCCCTCCTTCATTGACTGATTTCACTGACAGAGGTCCTACCATCCTCCTTTCTCTGCCATTCTGTAAGTGACCACCAGCATACCTTTCTAAACACAGGTCTGGATTATATCACTCAAATGATTAAAAGCAATCCCAAGCTCCAGTACCCTAAATTGGAGCTCCAGAGCACAAGGAAGGCCCAGAGCTTCCACCTGCCAAGCTGGAAGACTCCCAGGCACTATTTTAGGCACTCGTGAACATGTGGTTCTCGGTGTTCAGGCCCTTATGTCCCCCAGCTAATTCTTGCTGGCCCTGAAGGCCATAGCTCAGGAATTCTCTCTCTTCAGGGGATCATGTAAGCACACTTTGTAGGCAGCAGCTATTAATCATGGGCTCTCTGATTCTCACTCATTGCCAGCCCAATTATCAGTTCCTTAAGTGCAGACCATGATGCATTTCCATGGGTCCCCAGGATCTACCTGGAAATTGGCAAGCAGTAAAGCCAAATATTTGCATTTTGCCAAATCAGTTTTTTAGAACAGTGGGGACTTGTCCTTTGCCTCTTTCAAACGAGGCACATATCAACAAAGCTTTCATACTCCAACCAGGTGCTAGTTGTCTGCATAATGCTGCTTGCAGTATCCCACAGGCCTCGAGTAGGTTCATACTTGGCAACTTTACCTATCTACTAAAATCTGATTTCTTCAACAGCACCTGCACCTCCTTTAAAAACAGGCCATTTAGTTGTTCTTCCTTGACTTCGAAGCAAAAAGAATTTCAGTTCTCCACACACAAACTACAAATTTGTATGCCTCTACAATGTACGGTCTTATTCTTTCCAAAATTATGTCTCTGAATATTAAGCACCGCATAATCTGATAAAAATGGTAATACTTTATCTACATTAGGCTTTGCAAAACATCTGGAAGCCCATCCAACTCTAGACTTACAACCTATAAACATCCTCACTTGAGTCTGGCTTCTATGCCAGCAACTACTTCTACTCGCTTATTTAGAGAAGCAGCAGGCTGGACTCTTAAGTTAGACCTCTAGGCTATAAAGGTACTGTCCCAGACTAGCCACCCCAGTCAAAACTTCGTCATTACCTTTAAAACGAATTTCTGAAGTCACTCAACAAATCTAAAGTGCTTCTCAAGTTGTGGAAATTAAAAGATGCATTTTAAATTGCCAGTTATGAAATTAACTTGGAATTTATGCATTTCCTCGGAGAACATTTTCCATATATACCCGCGACTGAACCTGGTCTTCCAAATACCTAGGGAAAAGGTAGTAAGTAGGCTTCCAAAGAAGCTCAATTGAGGAGGTTAGAACCCCAAGACTCCGAGCAGCTCAAAGCAAGAGGCGGGGGCGGCGCCCTTCCCAGCTTCTCTGGCAGGAGCTCAACGCCCCAGAGTCGAGATGCCGCCTAACTGGGCCGCGACCCCCGACGGAAACCCAGAGACAACCCGCAGGCCGCCGGCACGCAGGCCCGGCGTTCCCGGGAGCGCGGGCCGGTGCTGAGGCCTGGCCCTTGGCCGCTGCGCGCCGCTCGGGCCTCGCCGCCCAACGCAGCAAGCCTTCGCCCGCGGGACCCCGAGCAGTGGGGCGGCTCCGCCCGGGCGGCGTTGCCTCCTCAGCCGCAAGGACGTCCGCGGCTGCATCCCCGCCCCGGGCCGAGAGGGAACAGCAGCAGGTGTTCCGCGGAAGGCTCGGCCGCAGCAGTGGAGACCGCGGCCGCAGCAGCCAGGCACGGCGGCGGGGGCGGACTTGCACTCACCAAGCGACAGCGGGCGGGCCGCGGCAGGTGTTCGCTCCTGCAGGCCCCAGGATGCCGCCGCCGCCGCCGCTCCCCCGGGACTCCGCGCGAAGCTACCGCCTCTGCCGCCCCCGAACCCAAGGAGCGCGAGCGCAGCGCCGCAGCCTTCGCGCGAGCACGTACCGAGCGGTGAGAGGGCGCCGAGCGCGAGGGCGGGGCGCGCGGCCGGAACCTAGCAACCGCCTGACACGCGAGTGCCGCAGCCAATCCGGCGGCCGGCTCCAAGCTGCGCCGACTAGCCTTCAGCACGCCGCCCGCTTCTGCCTGCGTCGGTCACCCCGCAGCGCGCCGCACCCGCGCGCAGGTCCCGCCCCGTCCCGCACTTCTCTGCCCATTGGCCTATCACGCCTCCGCCCCAGGAGCCCCGCCCCCATTGTGGAAGCCGCGCCCCCGAAGCCTGCCAAGTCTGTCCCTGGACACGCCTTAGCCAGTCCGGGTGGCCCGGAACCCTCAGTAGCTATGTTGGGGGAAGGGTACATGCTCAACTTCAGGCCGGCCTTTGAGCCTTAAAGACTAACCAAGGGATGGTCAGGCTCGCGAACTGGTCCCGCCAACAACTGGCCACCCATCAACTGCTCTCCTAGTTTCCTTCCAACGAAAATCAAGAGGTATTTCCAAGCCATTCACTCAGGAAGCACCATCCGAATTGCAAAGGAAGAAGGCCTTGTTGCCCTGCCTTACACGGATGGAGAAACTAAGGCCAGATCCGGAAGGGGCTGGAAACTAGCCCATCTTTTAGTGCTTGGCGCACAACAGGCCTCCCCTCCCCCTGCCTGGAAAGCTAGAATTCAGTGCCTCCTTTGGCGCCCTAAATAGCTCTGACCCGCTAGTACAGGTCACTCACCCCACCCCCAGTGACCCACATTCTTTAGAAGGGTGGGAGGTAAACGGGGTAGTTAACTGCTAGAATCTGCCCTACCTTTAAAAGGGTCCTACCTCCGCGGCATTGCACGACACGGGTGCACTCATACATGCGGGCAATAGACTCATAATATAAAAATAATAAATAAAATATTAGAAAAAAAAAAAAGCATCCTAAAGTAGTTAATGCCCTCCCGGGGCATTACGATCGGGCCTCTAACCCCAAAGGCCAGAGACTTGACTAGTTGCTAAACCTGACAGTGGATGAAGCGTCTGGGAATGGAACTGTAGTTGGGATCTACTGTCTTCCTAACTAACTCCACAAACTGCTAGAACGAGTCCATTCCTCCTTGGCCTATGGCCAGGCTGAAATTTTAGACCCACACTGTTATCAACAAGCACACCCTGAATACAGAACTGGCGGCCACTCTGCCTGGAATTCCTTCCTGAGTCCCAGACAGTGCCTCTCCTCAGAAGTGTCTAGGAGAAACAGCTTTCAGAAAGATGAGGAGGAAATGCCCCACCCCAAATATCTGTTTGTAATTCTCTTTACTTACTGAATAGCTCCAAATGTCATTCACAGAAACTAGAAAAGAAAGAAATTAAAATCCAGGAAAATAACCTCAAATCACCCATTAGACATTAAAACTAAATAGCTAATGGCATCTCAAACTCCAGATCTAAAATTCTGCTATTTAAAAAAGGATAAGAGCCGGGCACGGTGGCACACGCCTGTAGTCCCAACACTTGGGAGGCAGAGGCAGGCGGATCTCTGTGAGTTCAAGGCCAGCCTGGTCTACATAGTGAGTTCCAGGACCGCTGGGGCTACAGGGAGACCTGCTTCAAAAAGACAAAAAAAAAAGGATAAGATGAACTGGAAATGGTGGCTCACATCTGTTATCCCAGCATCAGGAAGCTGAGGCATGAGGATTGCTGTAAATTCAAGGCCACTCTAGATTACATGATTACATAATGAGTTCCAGGCCAACATAGGCTCCAGAGTGATACCCTATCTCAAAAAACAAACAAGAGGCCAGCAAAACAGCTTAGTAGGTAAAGGCACTTTCTGATAAGCCTGATAATCTGAATTCAATTCCCAAGGCCCACTTGGTAGAAGAGGAGAACCAACTCCCCCAAATTGTCATCTGACCTTTATGTCATCTTGCCCGCGCATGCACACACACACGAATAACAAATAAATAAAATGCAATAAAGGTTAAAAACTAAAACAAGGGGCTGGAGAGATGGCTCAGGGGTTAAGAGCACTGACTCCCCTTGCAGAGGACCCAGGTTCGATTCCCAGCACCCACATGGCGGTATGAACCGTCCTTAACTCCAGTTCCAGGGAAATCCAAAGCCCTCTTCTGACCTCGGAGGCATTGCATGACACAGGTGCACTCACATACATGCAGGCAATACACTCATACTCATAAAATAAAAATAGCCGGGCGTGGTGGAGCAGGCCTTTGATCCCAGCACTTGGGAGGCAGAGGCAGGCAGATCTCTGTGAGTTCAAGGCCAGCCTGGTCTACATAGTTCCAGGACAGCTGGTCACTACAGGGTGACCCTGTCTCAAAAAGACCAAAAAAAAACTAAAACAAATGAAGCAGGGGGCTGGAGAGATAACTCACGGGTTAAGAGCACTGACTGCTCTTACAGTAGACCCGGGTTCAATTCCCGGCACCCACATGGTGGTTAATAACCATCTGTAGCTCCAATTCCAGGGAATCTGATGCCTTCTTCTGACCTCTGAGGGCATTGCATGACAGGGGTACACTTACATATATGCAGGCAATACACTCATACACATAAAATAAAATAATAAATAGGCCAGGCATGGTGGCACACACCTTTAATCCCAGCACTCTGGAGGCAGAGGCAGGCGGATCTCTGTGAGTTCACGGCCAGCCTGGTCTACATATTAAGAAAAATTGGCCACAGACGCTCTACCTCATGAGGACTGGCTAAAAGAGAACGCATGCCTCCATTCTCAGAACTTGGGAGGCAGAGGCAAGCCTCTGAATTCGAGGCCAGCATGGTCTACATAGCGAGTTCCAGGTCAGCTGGGGCTACAGGGAGACCCGGTTTGAGACCAATAAATAAATAAATAAATAAACAAACAAATAAATAAAATTTTAAAAAATGAAGCAGCAAGCTACATATTGAGACCTTGTAGAACATCCATGGATTCCAAATAGCTCCCGTTCTTTTTCGGCATTGCTCTTGCTGGATGAGACACTAAGCCTCGTTCTTACCTCTGGGGTCACAGTATTCCATGCCCAAACATTCCCTAGAGCTGTGGTCAAGGGAAGAGCTCTACCTGACTAGCCAGTGTCCAAGGATGAAGTAAGCCCTTCCTAGTCCTGGAAACAGAAAGGAAGACCAGTGTTTGCCCAAAAATCCTTAACCCAAATTCTTCCAGTTCCTAGCTCCGCGGGTTTGGAACTCAGTTGAGTGCTAGGGTCCCAGGATAACCCTTATACTTTGCTCCTTCCTCTCCCTAAGCCTTCCAGGCTTAGCGGAGTCCCACTTATGTTCTGCCCAGGGCAGAGCAGCCTTGTATTCTGGGCATCATTACTGTCTTTCTTCATCTCTATTTGGAGTTAGGGTTTCTTCCTTCTCCCCCATATTTGTTCAGGCCCTAGGAAACAAGCAGCTTGTCCAGCTAAAACCAAAACCAACCTCTTGGGCTTTTTCCAGTCATCACTGGAGACCATACCAAAGTAAAGAGAAAGATGAACAGCTATTTTCATTAGCCTCTTGGTTGGATGGGGACTAAGAAGTTAAAGCCTAGTTACTCTTCTTAGTTCTGAGAATTAAAGCTTTTCTCCTCTTTGGGAACTGCATAGCCAGCTCAGCATAAGGTCACCAGGGACCCAGCCTTTGTACCGCAGGAAGGCCTAGACCATTCCAGGCCAGGTGGCTTGATGCTTATAGCCAGTACAGGAGACAAGAGTCAGCCCCAAGGACATTCCCAGAAGCAGCTGCTCAAAAGGCTCAAGTTGTATGTGCCTGAAGGCATGATCAAGAGACCAAAATTGAAGGTCTTCAGACTTGATTGTCTACCCTGAGCTCCCCAGAGCCTTTAGCTCTACTCCTTCCTCCACTTAACAATTACCCCTAGCCTGAGGATCCAGGAAGAGGAAGACTGTTTTGTAAGATTTGTTTCCTCTGCTTAATTAAATGTGCGCCTTTGATAAAACTGATTTGCTCAGCCCCACATTGAAATCATCACCTAATAGTTGGATAGCTGCAGGGGTTCAGTTTTGAGGCATAAGTAGTAAGACTGTCTTGGTGGGGCTTGGGGGGAGGTAGAGGCAAGAAGATCAGAAGTTCAAATCCAGTATCAGCTACTTAGCAAGTTCAAGGCTAATTTGGGGTTCATCTAAGACTATGTCTCAAAACAACAAAAAGTAGAAGCTAGCCGGGGGCATGGTGGCGCATGCCTTTAATACCAGCACTGGGGGGGGGGCAGAGGCAGATGGATCTCTATGAGTTCAAGGCCAGCCTGGTCTACATAGTGAGTTCCAGGACAGCTGGGGCTACAGGGAGACCCTGTCTCAAAAAGACCAAAAAAAAATAATAATAATAAGTAGAAGCTCAATTTCTGTTTGGGAAGGAAGAAATTGGATTGTTTTCTGCCTTACCATAACCTAGTTCCCCAAGAGTCCAAGCCTTGTACAAGCCCTTTGCAAGTCAAATGTCTGCATGTTTGCCTGCAACTGATATGATTTATTTAAGCTAAGACCTTGGTTCTAGCTGAGACCAAATCCAGTAAACATCATAGTGCAAACATTCATTCCTCTGATCTTAGGATTCCAGGGCTTTTTACACTGGCAAGTTCCTGAGGAGCAGTGCCTGTCCTCAGATTCTTCTCATGAGAGGGAGGCACCAGCTGCTGATTCTTCTTCCAGGTCTGATGGAGCAGGAGAGGGGCCAGTGCTGACCAAGGGTAGAGACTCAGAACCCAAATGCCAGGCCTGAAGGCATGCCTGGAACAGTGGGTTGGCAATCAGTTCCAGCCAAATCTGAGCAAGGGAGGGGTCCCTTTTTTCTGGATTTAACAGAGGGCAAATTGTCCTGCAGCTCTGGCAGAAGGGCTGATAAGTTTATCTAAGAGAAACTGCCAGTAGGGGTGTCACGAGATTTTCTTTCCTTTCTTGCCTTGCAGGACAGTATTCTAGCATTTCCACTAGTCTTCTTTATCTTTGTTTTAGACAGGGTCTTACTCTGTAGCCCAGGTTACCCTGAAACTCATATGTAGAGCTCAAACTGTCCTTGAACAAGTCTCCTGCCTCAGCAGCCTAAGTGCTAAGATAATAGGTGTGAGTCACCACACCTGGCCACTGGGCATTTTTACACATGGTTGGTGTACTGAATGTATTAGAATAGAGAATTAAGAATTTAAGAATTGTATTGAATGTATTAGAATTAAGAAACCAAGA